AATGCTGAACTAACCAGATGTGACTAGCAAGCTATTTCTTCTATGTTAATCAACCCCGAATCTATCCTTCCGCTATAGATTAATCATCTAAATGGACTTTATGGACTGACAAATATTGTCTGTTATCAAATACTTTAAGTTTTATGAGAAAAAAAACAATCAGAAATAGAGCCAGACCGATATATCGGCCAGCTGATATTATCGGCCGATATTAGGCATTTTCCAAACTATCGGTATCGGCAGTTATAATGGCCGATAAATGAATATTTCAAAAATAAAATAAAAATGGACGAAACACGCTTTAATCGTCTCTCCTTGGCCTGTTATATTGAAAATGTATGTTTTACAATTTGCAGTATGATGTTATCTATTGCTAAATTATGGCTCATCATAGACTAGCTAACCACGCTAGCTAAGAGCTTGGAAACCACAATGAACTTTTTCTGCCTAAATAAAGTAATGATTACTGTATTTATAACTAGCATATCTCTAGTTACAGTCCCTGCATTGTAAAATGCAAGTTACACTTGCGAGGAGTGAACATTTAGACTGAGAGAAAAAGTATCAAACGTATCTTGTGCAGAAAAGTGAGCTTTTCTTTTACACGTGTGTGAAATCCAACAATATTTAATAAAAAAATATATATATATAGCGGCTGATATATCGGATTTTAAAACCCAAAAATATTTGTATCGGTATCGGCCTTCAAAATCCTTTATCGGTCGGGCTCTAATCAGAAAAGCCATGAAAACACAAGGTTTGTGTTGCATTGCGAGCATGAATGAAACATCACAGCACATGCGTGCGTGATCATATGCGTTCAGATCACTAGCGCTGAGAATGAGCAACAGCAACTGTGATGGAACACACGCAAGATAATATGCTTGAGGTCCTGTCAAATTAAATCAACTATCAGTGGCGTGACCTCACTGAAGAGGTCATCAACCTGCGACCCCACCGTCAGCAGAGGTCAGAGGTCAGCTCTGGCTGTCGGTGGCGTCCTTTCGCTCGGCTGGAGAGTGATGTGACTAGAGGAGAGAGAGAGAGATATATGGCGGCGGCCGCCTGATGGAAGAGAACACCACAATCCTGCTCAAGGACACACACACACACACACACACACACACACAAGCTCGTGTTTTACGGACAGGATCGGACAGATGGAAGATCTGAAAAGGGCAGCATTCATTTACAGTCAGATATCAGAAAAGGTTATCCTACATCAACTCAGACAGCTGGACCCGCACACACACACACACACACACACACACACACACACACACACAGCGAGCTCAGGTGGTCCTGAGGAAAACAGCTGCCAAAGATGACATTTCAAGGTTTCGTTTTCCATATTCAAAACAGAAAACACTGTGTCTGTCTGTGTGTGTGTGTGTGTGTGTGTGTGTGTGTGTGTGCGAGATAGAGAGAGAGGCTGCGGCGGATGCATGACAACATCACACTCTTTGAAGGTCATTTGCTGAAGGGCGAAGCCACATACACAGCCCTAAAAAAACTCACACACACCTTGTTAAAGTTGACAGTGCTGTATATCGTATCAGATATAAATATGCAATAAAACTGTAAAGGCCACTCATAGAGGACAAAGAGCAGGTGGCAGGAAACACACACACACACACACACACACACCTGACACTTGCTTCTTGCTCATTTCTAATTCATGAGGGGCTTTTGCATACAGTCACCGAAAATATGACATCCAGGCGAATCTCAAGGAAACCAGTGAAGAACATGTGCGGGTCATGTTTCAAACCAAAATATGATTAAAAAAAAGAAATAATATTTCACTGTGAATGCAAAAAAAAAAATGCATTGTTGTGCTCTTATACTTTAGTTTTTTTGTTATGAAATTCTAATAAGAGGGTCTAATAAGAATCACAACTGAGAATAATGAGAATTGCATTTTTTAAAAGAAAAAAAATATTTTTTTTAGCATTGCACATTATGAAAATTTGAGAGGAAAATGTGCTTGTTTGTAACAGGGTGTCTACAGATCTAAACAAGTTCAATTTAAGACTTTTTAATGCCACTTTGAATGAAATTTAAGACCAAACCTGTGATGGAAATACACATTATATTAATTACATAAATATATGTAATATTTAACCTAAGTAACTGAAGTAATTTAATACTAACTACTTGTTTATTGAACTAAAATCAATGTAACATTTGCAATCAGGAGAATATTGAGCAAAATAGCTCCCGTCATGTTATCTAACTTAACTGTATCATATATTATAAATAAAAAACAACGTTTAATGTATGTTTCTTCTGTGCTGTTATGCTCATTTGTTTTGATTTCTCACTATAAAATATTTCAGAGACAGGCAAGTACTACCAGAAATCCATTATCAATCGCTGTTTATGTAATAAAATCATAAACAATCATGATCAAATTCGATGCTTCACTTGGTTATTTGATGGACATTGGGTCCATCAGACGGGAGACATTTTAGCGGTAATGTGACCAGAAATATTTAAGACCCATCGAATCGAAATTTAAGACATTTTAATACTTTTTAAGGCCTTTTATTAGGGAAATTTTATGTGAGACTTTTTAAGGACCCGCGGCCACCCTGTTGTAATGAGAATAATGCACAATGCCAACCCGATCTCACGAGAATTCGTACGAATTTTACGAGGTGGCTAATTCGTAACAATTCATACGACCTCACTCACACACTTTTGCTAAATCGTACATATTTTACGAATTGGCCAATTCGTATGAATTCGTACGAATGTCCTACCCATCACGTGGGTTTAGACAAATCGTACGAGTGAGGTCGTACGAATGAGCCACTTTTTAATCACTCGTACGAATTGGTCGTGAGATAGGGTAGACAATGCAACAAATCTTACTGATCCTAAATATGCTTTCATTTTCTTTATGCTTCAAACAGGGTTCCCACACCTTGGTTAACCTGAAATTCAAGGACCTTTTAATGACTTTCCAGGTCAAATACCCTCAAATTCAAAGACCTCTTCTTTTAGTGGTCACACTTGTCTCCGTTGCAGTCAAAACAAGCGACCGAAGCCTTGAACTGTAGGCTTCTTTTTTCCAGGAAAACTATTATGTTTTTGTTCAATAATATTGTTTAGATTATATTATTCAGAATTTTGAGGGATTTTGATACTATGCAATATTTAGCAATTTTTTTCCATTAGAACAATTTTTTAATATAAATGCAATATTTCACATTAAAATAGAGTGGAGGCCTTTAAAATCCATTTTTTGAAGTGAAAAAAAAGTGCTATTTGGAGGCGTATTTTTGGGCATTTTTTGTAACGTCCTGTAATCAACTGTATAGCTCCCTATATAAAGGCTAGGATGGCTTGTAAATTAAATAAATAAAGTAAATTAGGGGCTTACTTTCATTTTAAAGTAGGGGTGTAACGGTACATATTCGTATTGAACCGTTTCGGTTCGAGGCTTCCGGTTCGGTACGCATACAAACCGAACGATTGCTTGGACCATTTTTCTTGCCGGCAAAATTCGTGCTGACGCGGCCAACACAACGTTGCGCAACATCCAAATGGCAAGGGTAATGAAAGCAGAACGAAACTGCGCTACTCGTTATGTGCTTCACGGATCGTTTATCAGTTCGGACCAGCAACATCTGTGCAGCGCGAGCCGATCTCGATCAAGCAACACTGTTACCACACAGCGCTAAGAGATCCGGTAAAGAAAACATTTGAATTCGCCACTGAGGTAATAACATCGCTGCGAGATCTAGTGAGAAGCATTCACATTTCTCCGTTATTAACCGTAGATCTCTATTAGATCAAACAGCGCTAGCATGGAAACCAGGAGAAACATTGTGCCGTGAACGAACTAGTAATACTTTACGTCCACAGACCAGCAACATTCACCATGGATTTAATATAGTAACACTAACTGGAACCAGTTTGGCTGGAATGGTGAAATGCTTTCAAGTACTTCACACATCTTTTTCCAGCACTTCAAAATTCAAATATTATATAAATAAATATAGCCTATATTTAAATGTTGTTTTTAATGTGATGACCAAAACATTATTTGTTCATCCTTCAAAGATGACCCCCATTTATAAACCTGAAAGTTTCAAGATCTAGGAAAACTCACACTTTTTTAAAAATATTTTTTCTTTATACAAATAGGAAATTTCTCTGGCATTTCTTTCTTTTTGCTGTATCGAAAACGTACCGAACCGTGACTTTAAAACCGAGGTACGTACCGAACCATGATTTTTGTGTACCGTTACACCCCTATTTTAAAGTGAACTACTCCTTTAACATAACATGTAAATTCCCATAATTAACATGAATCAAGCAAGCTAGTGTGCAGAGGACACGAAGTGTTGGCGAAATAACACAGCAGACTGGAGGGAAGAAATATGGAATTTTTTCCAGAAAACTTCTTGGAAAAAATAAATTCAAGCACTTTCAAGGACTTGTATCAGTTTTCAAAAAGTTTCCAGGGCCTTGCATTTTTTTTTTTCAGATTCACGAACTTTCAAGGATTTCAAGGACCCGTGGGAACCCTGTTCAAAGTAGTTTTTATTTTGGTTTTTGTGGTGAATTGTAGACATTTAATTTTACTCAATTTCATATTTTTTTATATTGTATAACGTGTTGTTTGATTGTATTTTACAGAGTTCTTGGTTATATTTCTCTGTCCTGTAGTTTTTGAAACTTAATAACCTTTGGAAAAGGGACAGCCAATGAAAACTAGCCTTTGGGCTAACTTGGGTATTTCTATTCATGAAAGTTGATGAATGTTCACTGTCCCGTTTTCATGAAATTCACGCTCTCTTTCGCTAAACTCTGTCATCATCAGACTCAGCGCTGGCCCTGATGTTGTTCTCTACACTGAGATGACAGTCATCTCTTCCACATCCCTGTATTCTGTCATCTATGTTTGACCCAGTCCCTCGGGGAGAGTCTCAGCAGACACACACACACACACACAGATGCACAAGCACAGAGCAAGGGGCATCTCTTACCTTTAGAGGCTGTGTTCAGAGAAGAGAGAGAGAGAGAGAGAGGTTTAATGTGTGATGGTGTGATGTGTGTGTGATGTGACTGGAGGATGGCAGGGTGGATCAACTCACTCTTGGTCTGTGTGGAGAAGGTCAGTGTGAGTTTGGCAAACAGCTCCTTGTTCTCGTAGCGCTCCTCGTTGGCCTTCACCCAGAAACTGCTCTCAGAAAGATCCTCCGGTGCGATCTAGCGCAACATAAAACACTCGTCAATGCCTTCATCCATTCATACTACTGTACATCCACACACACACTGAATAGACATCTTTTCTTTTTATCCATCATCCAAACACGTTTGTCTATTCGTCATCCAATTCATACATCAACATCATTAATTAATCTTCAAATCAATCCCTTAATCATAAAATATCTGAATCCTTTCTCCAAATAATTATTCAAAAAAGGAACAAGAGACCAGTGTTATTTATAGGAGTAGTTCACTTCAAAAAAAAAAACTTTTGCTGATAATTTACTCACCCCCATGTCATCCAAGATGTCCATGTCATCAAAATGAACGAATCTATTTTCGTGTCATTTGGTTCATCCAACGAACGAAATGAACGAGTTGACTCGGGAAAAGATTCGTTCATTTTGATGAACGAGTTCGAACATGAGAGTCACGAACGTGCATCACAGAACAGAGCGAGGCGAGCATTTGTGCTTATAAAACTTAAACTTTGTTATTTTTATTTTTAAATGAGCAATCTTTCGCTTGATAAGACCCTTATTCATCGTCTGGTGTCGTTTAAAGCCCTTTGAACAGTTTGCACTGGACCTTGAACAGTTTGGACCCCATTGAAGTCCATTATAAGGAGAAAAATCCTGGAATGTTTTCATCAAAAACCATTTCTTTTCGAGACGGTCGAGTCCGAGTCGAGACCGAGACCAGTGAGGGTTGATTACCTAATTTACTTTTATTTACTTGGAGAAATCCTTTTTTTTTTACTGAATTTACTTAGTTTAAAAAATATGATCAGTTTAGGGTAAAAAGGCCACATAGTAGGTGGTGTTGAAAGTAATTTTATTACAATTTGTCATGCGCAGTTGCGCTCTAGAAAATCACCAATCACTGGGCGTGTCAATCAATTTAAAGAAATATTTTTTTAACATACATTAATAATCATGAAAAATATTTTGAATTGAACTCGAGTGGACTCGGGAATAAGTCAGAGTCCTAAAAAAAAAAAAAATGTTCGAGTACGAGTAAATTCCGAGTCCAAATGCACACGAGTCCATGACAAGACCAAGACCATTAAAATATCCGAGACGAGTCTAGAGTACTACAACACTGGAGTAAATTATCAGCAAAAGTTTTTTTTAAAGTGAACTACTCCTTTAAGTATTATTTACATACTATTATGGCATTATATAAACAATAAACTGCAGGAGACACAATACATCAGATACAAAATTCTGCATGTGATCAAACCCCAAAACAGACAGTTCTGGCTCTAAACTCTGGAGCCTATTGGCTAACACACACACACAGCTGTGATGCATCAGTTGAGTTTTAATGTAATATGTTGACAACCAGAAACCTCGAACAGCTGAGCTAATAATAGTTAATGGAGGAAATGTTTTGTGTGATTTTCATTACTGATAATGCATTTATGTGGTGACATTGTGCTTAACAACATCCCTCGTTCACTTTAAAAAAACAAAACAAAAAAAAAAAAGGCCTAGGCCTCAATTGGTTTATTGCTTTGACACGGTCGTGGGCCTCATTCATAAACGTTGCGCAAACACAAAAGAAGGCGTACGCCGCTCTCTACACAATAATTGGTATTAATAAAAAGCAAACTTGATGGGGAAAATGTGCGTAAATGCGTACGCACAAAAACGGGTGAAATGAGAAATGGCGACACCGTTGGCAGATGGAAGAAACTGTGAAAGTGTGTGAAACTGTAGACTGTCGTGTAAACGAAATGGCAATACTGTCAATCATAAATAACTTGAAGACTTCACAAAGCAAGTCTTACAACTAACAGGCTACACAAACACTCGTTTGATCGGCGATTTTCTTAGCAATGTTAAAACGCACATCAACCGATCACTTGTTTAGCGTTCATTCAGATTCACCGATCGGAATGAATTCAGTTCGATTGAAACCAAAGCTGTGCATGTTTTTGTTTTTGTAAACTGAAAAACTGAAAATAAAGTATTAAAAAAAACAATGAATGGCGACTGCAGAAAGCAAAAGCTGAATCCCGGACATCGACGGCCGGACATGTCCGGGAAAAAGAGGATGGTAACCCCGACTACTCAGCTTTCTCCACAGAACAAGAGCCTGCTAGCTAAGCTTACAAACAAGATGGCCGACACTGTGTGTTCAATCTGTGAGTGAGATCGCCCTCTATGGGCGGGTTGAGGACATGCGGGACAGTACTACTCACTGTAGTCTTTAGCCTCTGGACAAAAAATCCTCTGATGACGCATAATGACTATTTTTATGTCGTCGGAGGATTTTTTACAGACAAAAAAAAAACATAAATCTCTCGTTTCAAGGGGATATGAGGGTGGAAAACACGGCAATTGGAAAATACTACATGTTTCCTACTAATATTAAGCTTAATGCTAAATTCTGAAGTATCCCTTTAAGGGAAAACTGCGTAGGATGTGCGTGCCGTGTGCATAGTTTTATAAATCGGAATATTTCTGTGAACATCCTATGATTTATCCATATACCATTTCTGACACAAATCCGACGCATAGTTTTATAAATGAGGCCCCCGGTCTCTGGACAGCATCATTACGTAGACACCGCTGATATGATGGTTCGGCTCAAATCATCTCGCTGCACTGATTTAATGGCCCGCAGATTGTGATTCTGGAGTCCGGGGCTTTATTCTACCCCATTCAAGAAGATGAAACACCACCGGGCGCTTTCTCACAGTCTCAACCCATAACCTCATTTACACAGAAGAAAAGCGCTGCAAGTCCTGGGAGTAAAATGAGTTTAACAGCAGTGAACAGACTGTCAGGATATCAGCGCTAACCGCCTTCAGACGGTTGAGACAGAATGAGAAATGTAGAACAAGGATTAGAGGAAGACAGAATATGATAATAGACAGAGAATAAAAGAGGGTGAAACTCATTAAAACGGATCCCGATTTTACGCACAAACGAGAGAAAGGCGACGCGCTCCCAATGCACACTGGGACGGCCAGACAAAAACTGCTCCATCCTTTTGTAATTCTCTCCTCCTCTCAATCTCTCGCTGCACAAACCTTTTTAACGTCCATCATTCTGTCTTTTCCGGCCCTGCGACTCGGTTTTCTAATACGGCTGAGCAAGGATTTATTTCAGACTTATTTATTTAATATATATAGAAAATATTTAATATATATTTAGTTGTATAGATAGCTGTTCTTTAGAACGTTCTGTTAATCAAAGAATCAAATCCATGTTCTTTCTTTCTTTCTAACTATCAATCTTTTTAACTAATCCATATTTCTTTTTTCTTTATAATCCTTTCTTTCTTTCTTTCTGTCTTTCTTTCTTTCTTTCGAACAAATCAATTTTTCTTGCTAACAAATCCATCTTTCTTTCTAATCATTATCCTTCTTTCTTTCTTTCTAACTAATCTTTCATTCTTTCTAACTAATATATCTTTCTTTCTAACAAATCCATCTTTCTTTCTTTCTTTCTTTCTTTCTTTCTTTCTTTCTTTCTTTCTAACTAATACATCTTTCTTTTTAACGAATCCAGCTTTCATTCTTTCTTTCTTTCTTTCTTTCTTTCTTTCTTTCTTTCTTTCTTTCTTTCTTTCTTTCTTTCTTTCTTTCTTTCTTTCTTTCTTTCTTTCTAACTAATCTTTCTTTTTTCTTTCCAACTAATCTCTCTTTCTAACTAATCCATCTTTTTCTAACTAAGCCATCTTTCTTTCTTTCTATCTAATCCATCTTTCTTTCTTTCTTTCGTTCTAATCCATATTTCTTTCTTTCAAACTAATGCATCTTTCTAACTAATCCATCTTTCTTTCTTTCTAATCCATCTTTCTTTCTTTCTTTTTTAATCCATCTTTCTTTCTTTCTTTCTTTCTTTCTTTCTTTCTTTCTTTCTTTTTAATCCATCTTTCTTTTATTCTTTCATTCTTTCTTGTATTCTTTCATTCTCTCTTTCTTTCTTTCTAATCCATCTTTCTTTTATTCTTTCTTTTTAATCAACCTTTTTTTCTAATCAATCTTTCTTTCTTTCTAATCCATCTTTCTTTCTTTCTTTCTTTCTTTCTTTCTTTCTTTCTTTCTTTCTTTCTTATCCATCCAAATTTCTTTCTTTCTCTTTCTAAGTAATTCTTCTTTCTCTCTTTCTTTCTTTTCTACCAAATCTTTCTTTCTTTCTAACTAATCTTTCTTTCATAGAAACTAATCTTTCTATCTACCTATTATTTATCTATCTTCCTAACTAATCTTTCCCTTCTAACCAATCATTTTCTTTCTTTCTAACTATTCTTTCTAACTAATCCATCTATAAAATGTCAAACTACTTTACAAGCTTTCTCAAGCCAACTTAAAGTAAGTTTGTCTCATCAAACTTGTTTTTCTAGTCTTAAATAATATTCTGGCTCTTCCCAGGTTTGTAACGGCACTGAATAGAGCACATATTTTTTTAGCTCCAAAAAGCGCATCCATAAATCATACGAGCAATCCATACGACTCCAGTGGGTTAATAAAGGCCTTCTGACGCAAAACGAAGGTTTTTTTGGTCCGAAGCCAGTGATTAGAGTTTATTAAGTTTTAAATATGGATATTTTCTTACAAAATCTCATCGCTTTGTATCAGAAGGCCTTTATTAACCCACTGGAGTCTTTTATGATGGATGGATGGATGGATGAGTTTTTTTTGGAGCTTCAAAAACTCTTTAATGCCATTAGAGAGCCAGGATATTATTTTATACAACTCTGATTGTGTTTGACTCAAAGAAGAAAGTCATAATCACCAAGGATGACTTGAGAGGGAGTAAATCATGGGATGATTTTAATTTTAGGGGGGGACTATTCCTTTAGTGAACCTTTCCAATGCTACTAAATGTAATAACACTAGCAGAATCATCAAAAATGCATTGGTGTATTGAAACTAATCGCTCAGACCTTGTTGAATGTAAACTTGCAAATTGTGTCTGAATGGACTAAGCATGTGTGACGTTCACAGTCAGTCAAGACTCTAACCTCCATTTCCACTGGAATGTGAAAAGAAACAAATCTGAGAGGAGAGGAAGAGAAAAAGAGATGTATAAGGGGAAAGCGGAGGCGGCGAAGAAAGGTTAGGACACACGGAGACAAGGTACAACCTCTAATGATACAGCAGCATCTAATTACCCCCAGAGAGAGAGAGAGAGAGAGAGAGAGATAACAAGACTCGTCTGAGAGCATGAGAGGAAAGCTAAAAAACGTTAATTTAAATTACAAAAGAATGCTGTCCTTTCTACTAGCAATTTAATTATCTTTCAGAGACGCAGTCAAAAGACACAGGCTTATTAAAAAGCTATTTCACTGACATCCTCAAAGAGCCCTAACCACGGAGACTCTAAACACTCATGAATTCCACTGAAGCCATTAAAGAGTAGCTTTAGGCTAAAAGGAGACAGGACCGTTTTGATGTTTTTACTCTTGTGGAGGGCGAGGGAGAGAGAGAGAGAGGGAAAGAGAGAGATCAGAGGAGGAGAGGAGCGTGTTCATGATCACCCATGATTCACTGCTGCAACACGGGACGCGTGCCGCTTACACTGCAAGTGGGCGACGTATGGGTTGAAACTATGGCTACAGTACAACTGCTAGAAAAAAAAAAAACTTCAATACTTTTGTCTTGTTTTCCAATTCTAAACTTTAGTCAATTTACTTGAGAAGCAAAACTGCATTCGTTTTGTTTTTATAGAATGCATCTTACATGACACCTTCATAACCATGACATGACATATGTCTTGAATATGAAGTATGATGCATGTGCAACTGTCGCTCAGTAATGACATTTTGACATGCCATATCATGAAGGTGTCATGTCTGTCTTATGCACACCCCTTCAAGTAAAGTGTTACTGCTTTTTTCCCCCTCATTTTAAGTATAAATTTTAATTAAAACGAATTGATAAAATGGGGGGATTTAGCATTTTTTTAGTAAAAAAAAATATTTGTCAATATATTATAATATAATAGTTATTATTATATACAAAAGTTAAAGTTGGAAAAAGTCTCAAAAGTTGCAAAAGCCTCTAAATGCCATTTGAAATTTTCTTCTTTAATGATGTTCAGTAATTCAGTAATTTCACTTAAATGGCAATGATAATTACCTATTAATTGTTATTTAAGTGAAATTACTGAACTTAAATATACTTAAATAAGTTTGATAAAAATCATCATTAAAGAAGAAAATTTCAAATGGCATTTAGAGGCTTTTGCATTTGAACTCTTCTACTATAATTTTGGTTAAAATATAGGATTTTGATTTATTTTTCATTTTGATTTTAGTTAGTTTAATTGTTTTGTCATTTTTTATGTCTATATGGTTGTTAACTTTTATTTTCACTTATAACTAAACATAAATGAGATGTTGCCTTGGCAACTAGTTATTACACTTTACATCATATCAAATCCTTGTTTAATATTGGCCAAACAAAACCTAATTCCAATGTTCACATAATCTTTCCAATTTGGCCACTTATTTACGATAGATGTGTACATCAAAACATGCAAACTCAGAACGAGGATTTAAACTGAAAGATATTGATGTATTCTCCTGTGTTGGCGTAGGTTTATAAATGATTCATCTTACAAATCTAATGAAATGACGCACAATGTGTTCCCATATGAACTCAGCGTACACAGAGATGTAGTTTGAGACGCTCCACACATGTAAATGATAACAGTTGATGTGGAGCAGCATTTACTGTAAAGTTTAAACCGAGACGCTCTGAGGTGCATGCAACCATTTTCATCTAAATGTTGGGAGTATAGTAAACACAACATTTCTCAAGAGCAATTTTTGAAGGGGACACCGATAACTGAACGTTCTGAGGATATGTGCACACATAGGAAAGCCTTACTACTATTATTAGAGTAGCATGCTGTCAAAGTTTCTCTCTGGTTCATTGAAAGCCGGCTCAAAATGTTCAAAATTACATTTGTTTTGCTAATATCTGGAGAAAAACTTCACTGTTTGTGTGATATTATATTATATTAAATACACACCCAATGTTTAAAGTGAATAAATTAGCCTTGACTTATTGGAGTTTACAGCTATTGAAAATCTGCATTATCCCCCACCGGAGTGTGTGTGTGATGTAAAGGGGAGCAGGCAGTGGACCAAAGCACTGTGAGGCAAGGGAGGTTGAAACATTAAAAGGTTGTTTTTTCTTTTTTTTTTTTTTTTTTTTTGCCCCGTTTGCATTTGAATTGTTCTACTTACATAATTATAATTAGAAAATAGGGTTCATTGGGGTTCTATATATGAACCATAAGGTTCTTTACTTAACTCCAAATAACCTTTTATGCTAAAAATAGCTTCTATAATGACAAGAAAGAACCCTTTTGGTGGTTCTCACAAGGTGCTTCATTCATTAATATATCACATTATTCTGCAATATTTTGTAGTTGTAATTAAATGATTGTTTATTAACTTAATATCACATTTTAATCATGCTGAGTTTTGGAGGAGAAAAACTGAAATGGCGCTCTTCGTGTGATATTGATTAACTACATAAAATTATATAAATATAGACATTTTCTAACCCCCATATCTTGAATTTTGAGATTCATAAATACATTTTAGGCTCTTGATGTTTGTCAATAATATGAAATATTTAATCCGGAAAGGACAAAACAAATGATAATGAATGAACCCAAAAGGTTCCAAATAGAACCTTTTTCCTGGTTACAAAGAACCCTTAAAAAGGGCTTGTATAGAACCTTTTAGGGGTTCCAAATACGCAGCGCTGATAGAACTTTTTTAGAAGAGTGTATATATCAATATCTTACAATACACATATTTTAATGATATTGCCATCCTCATTTAGGATGAGGACGAGATTTTCGCCTATGTATGCAACCCACATGCATTTGCATAATTAAAGAGCATATATTAAACCCGTAGGACATACATTTACATAACTGGATCACAGCATTTGTGAATTCACAATAGCACAATGCTATAGTATGTTTTTTAAATGGTTTTAATACATTGTGAAAAACGGTGTAAAATGCAGTTCATGGATCCTCATCCGCTGAATGCGCCACTTCCGGTATTTTATCAGTTACTCAACACAGGCAACGTGCAGTTGAAAGATTTTTACAAATCAAATCGTGACACCCCTAATGTGATGCATTTTGGTTAATAAAACCAAAAGACCAAAATCACGAAAAAAGCTTTTCATTTCTGCACCCCATCTCTAGATACATTACCCAGGTTGAGTAGTAAACAGCCGCCACTAGTACTCTCATAGTCACACTGACCACCAGGCAAATGCAACATCTTTTATAGCCAAATTAGTAGGCGAAGACCTGTGAGAACATACACACCTTGCTCCAGTTGGCTCTCTTCAGCTGCACCTCAGGTGTGTAGTCTTTCTTGGGCTGTAGGCCGAAGGGCAGCTGAGGAACCTGAGGTGCCCATCCACCAAACCCGCCTGGAGGGGGCGGAGGCATTCCAGGGCCGCCCATTGGAGGAGGTGGAGGAGGCATGCCGGGCATCCCAGGCGGAGGAGGGGGAGGAGGAGGCATACCAGGTGCTCCTGGTAAAGGAGGAGGAGGAGGCGGCATACCAGGAGCGCCTGGCAATGGGGGTGGAGGAGGAGGCATGCCATGTGCTCCGGGTAAAGGAGGAGGTGGAGGGGGCGGAGGCATGCCGGCTGCCCCAGGAAGAGGAGGAGGTGGAGGAGGTAAAGGCATGGATGTCTGTCCGGGAAGAGGAGGTGGAGGAGGTGGCGGTGGTGGAGGAGGACCTGGTGCGGGGAGGCAGGCTTCACCTGGACGAGGAGGAGGCGGAGCCACAGGCACTTGTACGGTGATGACCTTCGCTTTGGCTTCTTTGAGATCTTTTGAAAGCTTGTCGATCTGAGAAACAAAAGAAACACCTATGCAGTCATATATCAGCAACCACAATCAACTCTTACATTATAACTTGTAAAATACTGAAATATGAAAAATGGAAGGAGATGAAATCTAGCAAATTTACATTTTAGTTTTATTTAAAAAAATGGATGGGTTATATATACATACATACATTATATATATATGTATATATATATATATATATATATATATAAAAACACACACACACATATACAGTTAGTTTATATATATATATATATATATATATATATATATATATATATATATATATATATTAGGGCTGTGCAAAAGTTAATTGCGATTAATCGCATCCAAAATAAAAGTCTGTTTTACATAATATATTTGAGTGTGCTGTATATAATTATTTTTTATATATAAATACCTATGCATGCATGTATATATTTAAGAATTATTTATATTTAAGCTTAAATTCTGTATATATATATAAATACATAATCTATATTATATAAATATAAATATTTTATATAGGAATAACACATTTTCTTAAATATATACATGCATGTGTGTGTATTTATATATACAAAATAATTATATACAGCACACACAAATATACTATGTAAACACAGACTTTTATTTTGGATGCGATTAATCGCAATTAACTTTTGCACAGCCCTAATATATATATATATATATATATATATATATATTGTTGTTTGTATTTTTGGGGGGGGGTTTTTGCAATATTTTTTTTTGTTTTTTGTTTTTTTGTTACTGTTATGTTTGTTTTCTTAAGTACTTATTTGTATTTGTATTGCTTGCTTAATAAAAAAAAAAAAAGAGAATAAATCTAACAATTAGACTTTTTTAGAATAGAACTATTCACACACACACACATTTATTTATATGCATGTGTATATGTACAGTTTATATACACACATACATATGCTTAAATATATATATATATATATATATATCAAGAGTTTTCAGATGCAAAAGCCTCTAAGTGCCATTTGAAATTTTCTTCTAGAATGATAATTTTTATCAAGCTTGTATATTTAAGTTCAGTGATTTCACTTAAATGGCAATGATAATTACCTATTAATTGTTATTTAAGTGAAATTACTGAATTTAAATATACAAGTTTGATAAAAATCATCATTAAAGAAGAAAATTTCAAATGGCATTTAGAGGCTTTTGCATCTGAACTCTTCATATATATATATATATATATATATATATTACAATGCAATATAATAATAATAATGCAAGCAAGTAACAAAATCATTTAAAAACCAATCATCTCTATAGCAATTCTTCAACTCAGTGTCAGGGGTTTGTTCAAATCAACATACATCTGAAGTTTGGGATGTAAATTAGGTTTCTGATAAAATTGTGACACCATAGCATGAGGCGCATTACTCAGATTTTCTTCATAAAACGTAAAAATGTAAGAATCTAGTTAATCTTGTAATTGATGGAGGGAGAGACAGACAGAAGAAGGTCAGGCCAGAGTTGGAAGCACATGAGGGAGTGTCTAAATTCATGTCTAATTAGTGGCATAATTTATTTACCCAGAATTTGGCAGAACTCATTAAAAATGACCAGCCTGCCAATGTCACATCAGACAGAGAGTTCGACTGTGAGATGGGAAGTAGTTCACGACACGGTTCTGGCTGACGTCTCATTAAGGAGAAGTTTCTGATGCTTGTTTATGAGTAGGTGACGGGTCGGTTTAGCTCAGCGGGTTCTCTCGGACAAACATCTCTCCGCACTTCTGCTGACGGCGGCGCTTCATCTCTTTCCACTGGAATTATCTGTAGCGCATCCGTGTTTGTTAGATAACCGGCAAACATCAGTTCTGTCCTGCCCGTTCTATTAATATCTCTCCTCACAGTCGGCTACTCTCTTCTGGGTTCATTCTTCTCTCTCCTCACAGAGACGCAGTTTATTCTAGTCAAGATCTGCCCACATACACAGGAACAGAGAGTCTGATCCACATGTATTACTGTAAAATTGAATGTAGACGTTTTTTATTTAAGCAGTCCTGCACTTTGAAACCCAATTTTGTTTGCCTACTTAAAGTTATTGACACTTTAGAGTGAGAAAGCAACATGCAAGAATGAGGAAAAGAGTGTTTTCATACAGTAAAGACTATGTTGTGTTTTATTTGGACATTTGTTTACTCAATATCTATCATATTTGCTACTAAGTACACCGTGGCTAAGCCACGCCCTCAAACGCGATGAGCCAATCACAGCGCGCAGCTAACCCAAGACATTCTCTGCTTCCACGTCCATTGAAATGCATTGCAGTTAGCCAGTTTTCATTCGTTTTTTCTTGTTATTTTAAGTTTAAAATGGTCAAACGGTGTGCGTGAGGTACATGCAGCGCCGACACTAGGTTCCCGAGAGGCTGGGCGACGGTGTGTGTTTTTTTACCCTTTCCCAAGCCACATCTCAACCGAGATAAGTGTCTGCTCTGGATTAAATTAACTAAACGTGGATAAATTAAATGTCTACATCTGTTCTAAGTTAAGTCAGAAACGTATTTGAACGTTATCTTTAAAATCTTTAACGTAACTTTAGTCTAACATTAGAAAACGTTAACGTTAGCTTCTAGTTTCATTAATGTGTCTGTAAATAACCAAGATAACAAATGCTAACAATGTTGTGATTGATGCTGTAGCAGCAAACGGTGATGGCAACGATATGCGGTTTATCACGTTTACACTGTGACCTGTACATTTTTGCCTGGAGCTGAAGCTTTTAATCGACCTTCTCAACATTAAAATTGTTAATATAACCCTCCAATGCATAGTTAAGACCCTTTAGGTGACTTTGAGATGATATTTAATCATCTGTCTCCAAAAGTCACCAATTGTCTCCTACTGTGAGAGCTGCCATAGTGCCTGTCCCCGAATGTTGACTGTGTGTCCGAGTGAGTGGAGGGGGCGTGGCTTAGCCATAGGTCTATAGCAGTTTTGTTTGGTGGCGCAGAATTGACACACTTCTCCTTTAAATGATATCATTTCCACGTTTCTCATGTACCTTCTCCTTCAGTTGGCTGATCTCAGACTGCAGGCCCTGGTTCTCCTTCTCTCTCTCGCTCTTCTCCTTCCCCAGCGTGTCTTTGTCAGCGCTGAGCTCCTGAACCTTCAGCTGGTAATCGGCCTCCATCTTCTTCAGCTCCACCTGCAGTTCGTGCCGGGCCGTCAACTCTGCCTCCAGCTGCACAAACACACACACACCGGGATCATCACGTCATTAATAACAAGAATATCCCTCAATAAGCATGTGTGGAAACTACTCAAAACACACGTTTGACTGAAAAAAAAAAAAAGTGTTGTAGCCTTACGAAAGCATTCCCCGTTCAAAAGTTTAGGGTTGGTAAGATTTTTGTAATGTTTTAATGTTTTTTAAATGTTGTTTTAAGTTTCGTACACTGTAAAAAATATTGTTGGTTTAACTTAAAAAAGTAAGTAACCTGGTTGCCTTAAAATTTTAAGTTCATTGAACTGGAAAAAGTGAGTTAATACAATGAAGGAGAATGATTTAATCATCAAAATGATATGTTATCTGAACTAAATAAATTATTTAAGTTGATTTGACTAAAGAAAAAATGTTGTGATTACTACACTGTAAAAAAAATATTGTTGGTTTAACTTAAAAAGTAGGTAACCTGGGTTGCCTTAAAATTTTAAGTTGATTGAACTGGAAAAAGTGAGTTAATACAATGATTAATTTAATCATCAGAAACTCAAAATAATAAGTTATCTCAACTAAATAAATTATTATAAAGTTGATTTGGCAAAAGAAAATATGTTGTGATAACAAATCTTGAAAATATTTCTTTTACAGTGACCAAGGCTGATCAAAATATAGTGGAATATTATATTACAATTTAAAATGACTGTTTTCTATGTGAATATATCATAAAATGTAATATATTCCTTAGATCAAAGCTGAATTTTCAGCATCATACGATCCTTCAAAACTCACTCTAATATGATTTTATCATCATTTCTCATTATCAATCTTGAAAAAAAAGTGTGCCTAATATTTTTGTGGAATTTTTTTTTCAGGATATTTTGATGAATACATACATTTAAAATAGAAAAATGTTGTAACATTATAAAAAGTTACTTTAACTTTGATCAATTTAATGCATCCTTGCTGAATTAAAGTGTTCATTTCTTTAAAAAAAAAACAATTTACAGAACCCAAACTTTTACGGCATGATAAATTTAAGAAAATAAGAGTGTGCAATAAACATTCAAACAGCAGAGTGCTACATCAAATCCCAAGACTTCATTATATTGTGTGATTAATGCTGTGCATGTCATTCAGAAGGTCATAGTCAAGCACATTGCATCTCAAGCAGGACAGTGTGGTTGTGTACTGTGTGCAGAATACACACCTAAAACGGTATGAACAGAGCTAGAATCTTCATTTGACCAAAGTGATGTATTGTGTTATCAATAAACTCTCACATGACCATCACAGTTCATCACTATGAAGGTGGTTTATTGTTCTCTGCGCAGGCGAATAAGAGGACGGACTCGAAAACAAATCTGAGGTGAAATCGAGTCTCTCTGGATTTTAGTATTCACCTCACAAACTTCCAGAAAAAAAAACGTTATTCTCCCTCTCACAGACAGACACTGACAATTTCCGGTGACATTGACAGCGGGTGTTTGCAAGTCAGACATGCAATTACGTGACAGCGGCGGAAATGGAAGGGTCACACACACACACAATTTCTCCATGTGTTAATAATGAGAGTCATTCGCTGTCGCTCTTCTGACGACACACTGCTATTACTCTGGATTAGAAGGAAAAGGAGAAGAGAGTAGAGTAAACACTCGCCTGACAAGCCTGATAGATACTCTCACACACAAATGCATGAGCAAAGCAGAGATTATTTACTTTATTTTGGCTCTGACAGAGAAAATACAAACACACACACACAGAGAGATAGATAGAGTACATTTCAGATCCTATAGATACCTGGGGCCCTATTTTAATGATCTGAAACACAAGCATCAAACGTGAAGCACAAGTAATTTTGTGGGCAGGTCTCGGGCGCTGTTGCGATTTCAGCCCTTTCTCATCCCAAGATCTCATATACTGACGCTTTTGCCAATGCGTAGACATACGACACACATGGCACCCTTTAGCGTCAATATGAGACGCAGATATGTATGGGGCATAAGGCGCCTCCTAGTGGTCTAACCCTAACCCTACCCCAAAACTAAACCTACCCACACTCTGTGTGTGTTATATTGATGCTACAGGGTGCCATGTGCGTTGGATGTATACGCATTGGCAAAAGCGTCGTATATGACGCCATGGGATGAGAATGCGTTGGCTATTTTACCGGTGGGATAAATGACTCTCGCACCCGACGCAAGTTTAAAAGGGGCTGGTCTGAAGTAGCTTCATTATTCATAGGTGTGGTTTGGGTGTAACTGAAACAAGCCAATCTTTTTCAGATCTGTCCATCTATTGGATGAAATAATCTCACCCGATTTACACATGAACATGACGGAAGACACAGAGAACATCAGCTTTAGCTTCTGCTCTGACGGCCTCGACACCAGCCGAAAGCTGTGAGTGTGTGTGACACATAGTGTTGCTTTCGTCAACGAAAATTATGACTAAATATTGCCGTCGACGAACCTTTATCACGTGACGAAAACGAGAGGAGACGCAACGTAAATGCTGGTCGTGTGACGATGACTATAACGAAATGTATAATGCAATATCGTTGACGGATAAAAACGAGACTAAATGTGGTTTACAAAAATAAAAACTATGCTAAAATGTCTCTTCATTTTCGTTGACCAAAACGAGACGAAATGTTATTTAACGTTACTTCGTCTTGTTTAGCCTACTTGCATTATTATTATGCAGCATTTCTATTTCCTGAGCGCTAATCTATTACTGTAACATGGGTGCGGGAAAAATATATGCGCACTGCAAACGGAGTATGTGCGAAACAGGCGTTAGCATAAACGACAACAAACAAAAGTTAAGTCTGACACAGAGAAAGGGATTCATCTTTGGGAGAAAAAGAAGAAATGACATTTGGAAAAACGTTCATTTCATCATGCGTGTAGGGCAGGCTACTTCTAACATGTTTGGTTGGTAAAATAAATATGTTGTAAATTCAATTCAGAGCGTCTCTCATGTCTGTAATGGATGTATTCTTGAGTATTCTTCTATAAGGTAACAATAATACAAGAAGATAAGATTGTTTGAAATGGGTTTGGCTATTTTTTTTAGAATTGCATATTAAAAAGACACTAAAATACAATTTTCATTGACTAAAACTAGACTATGTTTTTCGTCGACTAAAACGAGACTAAATTGTCATCAGTTTTCGTCGACTAAAACTAAACTAGACTAAAAAGAGTATGAACGTGACTAAAACTAATAAAAACTAAAAATGTCAGCTTGACACAAAGACTAGACTAAAACTAAAATTAAAACAGACCTAGAACTACTTAAGTACTGTACTTAAGTACTAAAATGCTGTATCTGTACTCTACTAGAGTATTGTTTTTTTCTCATACTTCTACTTTTAGTTCAGTAGATATTTCCGATGAATTTAATACTTTTACTTCGATATTTTTTTAATTTTCTGCTAGTTACAATTATAAAAATTTAACGAATCATTCGTTGCAAGTTGGCTTTCATGCTGCCTAAATCACACGCCAGTTTTATAGGGTAATGGTATTGATTGACACACATTGACAACTAATGCAGGGGTTGTCCTGCAATGACATTTTTTTGGCAAATTTGTACCTTATTTGATTGCTAGTTCAAACTTTTGACTGCTTTCTTTAATAATTACTTGACACAATACTTTTAATTTTAGTACTTAAGTAGTGAATTTTAAAATAAACTACTTGCAATACTTAAGTAAAAAAATAGTTTTTCATGTTTTTCAAAATCAAGTGTGGTGCATACAGAGGACTTCAACTTCTACTCAAGTCACTTTTTTGATAGAGCACTTGTACTTTTACTCAAGTCCGGGTTTCTAGTACTTTATACATCTCTGGATGTTTTCCATCTTCAAACCCAACTTTGGTCACCAGTCGACAAGTGTAAATCCCGTCTCCAGAGTGTTTCCCATAATGTTTAAGCATTAGATGAGTGTGTGGCGAACAGACGGTCTTTAGTGGCTGTTTGAACACATTCGACAACATGAGCGTTTACACTACCAAAACAATCCTGATGACAAGCTCAAAACGCTTCAGACCCGTATACACCTATATTTAGAGTCGTCCACTTGTGATCCGATCGACCAAAAGGCATCACACACACACGCAAGGTAATTGTAGACTGTGTTTGGAGAGTTTGGAGAAAAGATGTCAGGAAGAGACAGGAAATCTCCGTTCTGCTTGTCTCACCTCCCAAATTACACATCTGTCAACTGACAGGCGCACTGAGACAGCGGGGGGCGTCTGGGAGCAGCGGCTGTGTGTGTGTGTGTGTGTGTGTGTGATCTGGTGTTGTTGATCCATATTGGAGGACTCTAATTTGGTCTAAATCTGTGTGATTCAGTGTGTTTGTCCGTGTTTCAATACCTTCTTTGCCAGATCCGTGGCCTTGGCTTCACTGATTTCCACTTTGGTCTGATCAACCATGTTATCTAGAAAGAGAGAGAGAGACAGCGAGTGAATTGATGGTTTTAGAGGTGTGTGTGTGGAAAGTGCCTTTCACTGCGACACGTCTCTTTTCCTCCTGTGATTCGTGCTCTGATTACTGAACGATCTAATTAAAATCTTCGGCTCGCTCAGACCCATCCCAAACTCACACTAAAATAAGAAAACCAGGAGCGTCTTTGAAATCACCACACAAAGGGCAGCGAGTGAGAATACATTTATACATCTAAAGCTCCTGGAAAACTCTTCTGTGTCTGTTCTCAAACCCTAAAGTCTCTGTGAACTCCAGATCAATATGACTCGCACGTGTGCCCGTTACAAACACAGACCTAAAAGAGTCTGAGGAGAGCGGACTAAGCTTAGTTTAGGGTCAGCGCTGACGTCAGCAGCCAATGGGAGGGCTTTCTGCGGAGATATGATAATGAGATCAGAGGTGACCGAGAACGTCAAGAACGTTTGTATTGGCCAGCTAGAAAGGACATTCAGAATTAATAATGGAAGATTATGCAAGGGAAATATGACGTAGAGCCCGACCGATAAAGGATTTTGAAAGCCGATACCGATACAAATATTTGTTGGTTTGAAAATCCGATATATATCGGCCGATATTTTATTATTTATTTCAGAAACGATGATAAGAGATGATACGTGTCATTGCTATAACTATCACGCGCTATTAAAGAAATACTTCAGTCGCATTGTCAAAAGTTAAAAGGACAGTCAGTCAACGACACTGTAATAACGTAACGTAACTATTACTAGCTAATTCCGCTTCACTCTCGGCTTATTTAACAGCAGCAAAACTGGACATGATAGTCAGTATAGTCAACGACTGTGTAGAGTGCCCTCTGGTGGACAAACTCTACAACTCCGAGTTTCGTCCATTTTAATTTTTTTTTATTTTTTAATTTATCGGCCATTATAACTGCCGATACCGATAGTTTGGAAAATGCCTAATATCGGCCTGCCGATATATCGGTCTGGCTCTAATATGAAGTTTAGAAAGGAAGTCTGAAAGGACTTAAGCAAAGTATGCATGGAAGTTCATAAGCAAGGAAGAAATTATGTGCCGACGAAAGTACCAAAGGAAGTTTGGATGGATGTATATAAGGAAAAATGAAAGAAAGGAGGGAAATATTGAAGATAGTATGGAAGGAAGTTCAAAAGAAAGAATTTAAGTAGACTTGAAAGTGGTGATGAAGAAAGTTCAGAAGTTTAGAGCTTAGTATGCATGGAAGTTCACAGAGACGGATAGACTGACCGGGAGAATGGAAGTTATTATTGAAGGAATAATGGAAATATAAAACTATGATAGTTCATAAGGATAAATGAAGTATGTCATATAAAATCTACAATCTATATGATTCTCTAAAATAAATATATAAAGCTGGTTATTGTGTATTTAAAACTCATTGGATCTCGTTCAAGAAACATTCGTAAATATACGAGTGATTTGCGCGTCGTTAAAAGTATTAACGATTTCTGTAATTTACGATTTCGTAATCGTAAATTAACGGTTTCATTAATGTTTAACTGACATATATGCATCACGTTAAGTTTGTTCCAAATGGACGGAAATTGTATCCACAAGTTTCCGAGGGGCGCTCCTTTAAAAAATAAAGTGGGTGAAACTTAACTTCCGTTGAGGCGGCGAAAGTAGCATTCAATGGTATTTTGTGTGTTAGTTAGCGAAGAGGCTAGCTGTTTTTCGGAGAATTATTTTACTATTTAAAGACGCAAATCTTTATGAGAGATGTCGTTACGAAGCTCAGGGACAACATGTGCTGTTCGCTGTTGTACGTATAACTGGACTAAACTAATTAAGTGGCCTAAACGTTATTGTTTTGAACATAAGCCGAAAACTAAATCAGAGTGATCCTGCCAGAGCCCGTCTCTGATCCTGCCAACGACTGTAACGTTAGTTTCCATCACCTCCCAAAAGACGACGAATCTTCCTGTGTACATTTGTTTAAATTCTTAATATTTTATCAACTCTATCAGCATGTGATTGATTGTTCGCTACTGATGTTACACCTAAACTCAAGATCAAAGCCTGTGTTGACAGAATACCAAATGTATTCAAGCAGCACATTCATTTATAATTTTGAATAAACTCCAAAGCACAATGACTAAGTGTGTATTTTTTATTTAATTGTTTGTCAGCTCGCACAACTGTCTGTCACCATACCTTGATGAGTATTGATTATTAATAATATTATTATAATACTCCCAATCAACTACTGCGGAGGGTAAAGGTACTGTTATTTCACCCTTTTTAATTTCGTTGAGGTTGTGTTCCCACATCGTTAGCTAGTTGAATGACTGCCAACTGTTGAACGAACGAGTGTCAAGATTTGTTTACTTCGAACCGGAAGACGCGCCCACTTTTGACGCAAGGCCTCATGGGGCGTAGGAAACTTGTGGATATGCGATTCAAAAACATCTTAAATTTAGGCCTAAATATATTTTTGGAGTGAACCTCAAACATCAGACCCGATATGAGCCAAACCAGACGCCGTCTCTGACAAATACCACATACTAATAATCAGAAAACGAGCTTGTTTTCATGTCATTTTCATTTTCAATGTCCAGCCGGATTCCTCTGGATGAGATTGGAGATGATTTGAAGTTTTGAACGCTGCCACCTTGTGGTCAAATGTGGCATTTAGGAAATGTCATTAACCGGATGTAAAATCAATGGAAGTCTATGCAATGTCCTCACTCATATCGTGCAACAAATGTGTTTGAGCCTTACCAATCAGAAAACCGACGTCCAGCTCAAACTTCCTACATTTGAAGTCAGGATCACAGCCGTTCCTGTGCAGAACGATCTGAGCCGTACACTCATCGATGAGTTTGTAGTACTGAGGCCTGAGAGACAGAAAGAGAGACGTCAGTCGCTGTTGGACGAGACAAACACTGAGTTCATGAAATAAAGTGATTTTCATCACACTGTTCGCCCAGTCGTCCATGACGACCTCCAGTGACCTTTCAAAACGACACACTGTAGGTAATTTAAGGCGTTCCAAGATTATTTATCCAACATTTCACACACAATGTAACTCAAACATAGAAAGGATTTAAAATGTAAAACAAATTAAGAAGATAACTTCAGACGACAAATAGTGCATTAGCTGATTTAAATCAACTGATGCGCAGAAATGCTGTTTAATGTATGGGATTGTGTGTAACTGGGTAGTCAGATGTCATTTTAATGTGTGTGTGTGAGAGAGAGAGTGAAAATAGCTGACACCTGCGTGTTTGTGTGTGTGTGATGGTTTGATATTTGAGAGGTTTTTTCAGACAGTCCATTTGAGAAATCTGCCATCTTGACCTGGCGTGAAACGAACTCGATATGTTCTTCATTTTCCACCAAGCTGTTTCTTTTTCCTTTATTTGCCCTCTTCTCTCTCTCTCTCTCTCTTTACACGCAGCCGGATTCTTCCGTGGAGCGAGAGTGACCCCTAGTGTCCGTGTTTCCAACCCCAGCACCTCGATTGAGTTTAACCAGGGGCTTTTGGAGAAATCAGAATAATCCTAATTAATTCTCTCTCGTCAGTGATTAAAGTGGTGAAACGAGAGTTTGTTTGTGGGCAGACGGGCCGCTCGGGGATTTGAGCTGCGGTTATATTTGGAGGATAATTATACGGAGGCGTCGTCACTTTCTGCCGTGTGTCAGCACATTAATCGCTGAAGAGAAACTCATGAAACGATTCTGCTGATGGCAGCGGAGAACCGTCTCGCACTTCTCTTGCTCAGCTCCTTTCAGAAAACCCTCAGTTCTCACTCGTTTACGTGACTTTCTTAACATTATTTCCCTTCTCTGCTCATAATCTACAACCAAACGGGCAGTTCGTCTTATTAGATCACCCGACGACCCTTCTTTTATTTATCCACACTCGTCAAGTTTGTGATTTAAAGGGATAGTTCACTTTGAAATTTGAAATTAATTTTTGGTATGTTTTAGCTTACCTCAAGGGCATCCAAGATGTAGGCGTCTTTGTTTCCGCAGTATTTTCAATTTTGATGTTTTTAACTCAAACCGTTGTCTGTCAGTCATATAATGGAGGTCTATGGTCACCACCTCAAAGAGCATGCACAGAGAAGTCCAAATTAAACATGATTGAATGACTCATAAATGTAAGTACACATTGATGGCCTAAGACACGAAACGAGCGGTTTGTGTGAGAAAACGAACTGTATTTATAACGTTTTTACCTCTTGTAATCACAGCCACGTCCAAGTGATCTGAGGGCGCGGGCGCTTTGTGCGCTTTACGATATAAACACTGTTCATTTTCTCACACAAAACGCTCATTTCGTGTCTTAGGCCATCAATGTGTACTTAAATTTACGAGTCATTAAATCACGTTTAATTTGGACTTCTCTGTGCATGCTCTTTGAGGTGGTGACCATAGACCTCCATTATATGACTGACAGACAACGGTTTGAGTTAAAAACATCAAAATTGAAACTACTGCGGAGACAAAGACACCTACATCTTGGATGCCCTTGAGGTAAACTAAAACATACCAAAAATTAATTTCAAAGTGAACTATCCCTTTAAATAAACATGGTCTCGTTCTCACACAACAGACCTGGAATATAGTCAAACAGATTTCGATCATTGCAATTGATGCTAATTGTCTCAGACTTGACTGAACGACAACAGGATTTTAATTGGGTGAACTTTTCCTGTAAGTTTTTCTCTAACATCCAAAAACAACTGGAGGAAAGCATTCGATCGATCGATAGTGTGAAGAGACTGATGAGCATGAAATGCACGACTAGAGATGCTCCTCAAACACACTGCGTGTGAAAATATAAAAGAAAAAATTAGTATGCCATTCAAAACATATCCAGTGTTGTGTTCTTTAAACTCTAAATAATTAAGTGCTCATTATATGCATTATGAACACCTTGTGCACAGTCAGTGAATTTTTATTATCCATGAAAAACCCCAAGTGATCAACTGCATGTGTTAAAGGGCACAGGATACAACACAAGAAACGTATCCCATTATACAATACGCTAAAAAGTAATATACAATACTGTGCAGTACACTAACATCCCATTTCAAACATTACGCTCTCTCTCTCTCACACACACACACACACACACACACAGAGAGAGAGATGACAGAAACAGGCTCTCCAATTTCCTGCCTGTCGGATCACATTGAGCGGACGAGAAACAAGCAACAAGTCTGAAAACCTGAAAGCATTTATAAACCCTCTCACACACACACACACATAGTTTCTCCATCTGTGCGTGTCTTTTCATACTCACACCATCTCTTTGTTCTGTGTGTGTGTGTGTGTGTGTGTGTGTGTGAGAGAGAGAGAATAAGAGTGTGTGGGTGATTTTAGATGTGCAGGTTAGAGAAAAAGAAATGAAAGAAATGTGTAATCATTTCTCTGCCAAAAAACCCTTCTAAATGCATTGGTGTGTGTGTGTGTGTGTGTGTGTGTGTGTGTGTGGCAGTTAATTGAAGCGGGGGTGTCATACAGTGGCTGGGTTCTTATTTCAAGCTGGTCGCCATCGGCAACCGCATCCGCCTCCTGCTGCCCATCAATCAAACGTCTCCCAGTCTCAGACCGCATCCATCTCTCCTGCTTCCCTCCTTTATCCATGAACTCTCACTTTGTAGAATATATAACTACAATATCGTCTCTTAAAGGGACAGTTCAGCTGAAAATGATTTGTTATACACCCTTATTTTGTTCCAAACCTGTATGACTTAACAGGAAAACACGTGTAAAACACTGTCCTGGTTTCTACACTCATAACAGTAGTCCATTAAACTTGTGCACTATTCCAGCATATTTGATGACACGATATGAGATGTTAACCACCAGATGAGTCCGTAAAAAGCAGACTTATGAACTAAAATTAATTAATACAATTTATCCCTGCTAAAGCTACAGAATGTAGTTATTTTTTAGTCAATTTACTTATAAATGTATTTTCTTGTATGTATTGTAATGATTTTTTTACATCATGGCCAGGGGACTACAGATGAAAAATAGCCTTTTGGCTAATTCTGGCTTTTTTAACCATGTTTGTTTATGCGTTTTATGTAATTGCACTGTCCCCTTTTAAATAAACCAATAAATCAAATCAATAAATCAAATCAAATGATTTCATACAAAATGATTTTGTTGTTTGTTTAACATTGGTGTGACAAACAGCTGTGGGTATATTAGGCTGCTGTCACTTTAAAGGTCAAAGTCTCTGAGTTTTTGCAGAACTACGCCCCCTATAATTTTTTTTAATGGAAAAAGTTTTTGCTCTGTTTTTCTGAATTAAAGAGCTAATTATCTCAGAATTACGAGATCATTTTTCATGGAACATTTTTTTTTTGCTGTTTTTTTCTGAATTAACGAGTTAATTATCTCATAATTACAAGATAATTTTTTGATGGAAAAAAGTTTTTGCTGTTTTTTTCTGAATTAACAAGTTAATTATCTCAGAATTACAAGATCATTATTCATGGGGAAATAATTTTCGCTCTGATTTTACTGAAATAATTAGTTAATTATCTCAGAATTACGAGATAATTTTTCATGTAAAAAGGTTTTTGCAGTTTTTTTCTGAATTAACAAGTTAATTATCTCATAATTACAAGATAATTGTTTCATGAAAAAAGTTTTCGCTCTGTTTTTTCATGAATTAATGAGTTTAGTTGAGATAATTAAATCATTAATTCAGTAAAATAATTAAATCATTAATTCAGTAAAACGGTAGATTATTTTTTTTCAAGTGAATGCAATCCCCTTCCGTATTTGGCCAAATCCATCTCTAATGAGAAGAAAACCCCTGGATGAGAATGATTATGGATGCAGGGAGATGAATATTGATTTTATTTCATTCAATAATGTGTTTAGTTTATTTAGCTTTAGTTATTTTAGTCCTCAAGATAAACAAAATTGCCTTGGAATGTTGAGAAACGCTGTTTAAGTTTTATATTTTATTTCAGTTAATACTTTTTTTATGGTTTTAGTATTAGTTCATATAATAATGCCACTGATTATGTGTCGTGGAGTATTGTGTTCCAACTCAGCCACTTCTATGACTTTTATTATGTAGTCTACATAGACAGCACACAGGCTAGGGAACTTTATATCATGTCTGACCCCTGTGTGTCCAACTCACTCCTTATTCTTTCCTTCTCATCAGTCTAAACTCTTGACAGGTGTGTTTCTTGCTCCTCAAACACACAATAACCTCACTTTCTGCCATTTTTCTCAACCTGAGAGAAGTTGACATCTCTAACATCAGTGATTGACAGCTAAATAACCCTCAAGCTCAGGCGTATACGTATGTCAGCGATGTGACAGACATCTACAGCACACATCAACTCAATTCGCTCAGTTTAATCATGTTGTCTGTAATTTTCAGAGAGGGTCAAAGGCCACTGTAGGGGTTAGTATGGGGTGATGTACGTTCATACCTGGACATGTAGTCGTTTCGGACCAGAAGCAGATGCTGGAGCAGCGACAGGAACAGAGGTTCAGCTTTAGAGTCCTTTACTGTGTTCATCAAGATCTGGAAGACTTCAGTCACATCAGTGAACACACACAGTTAAAGAACAAACACACATCAGCCAAAAAAAACACAAAATAAAACACATTATTACACGATTACACACGATTAAACACATTTTAAGTGAAAAAAACCTGAAATAAAATAAAAATTACATAATATAAACAACTTAAATACTAAAATTACTCCCTGAAATAAAATAACACTGACATGAAACAAACTAAAATGGAAATAGAAATATTAGAAAAAATAGATTAGATTCGAATTTTGTAAAATATAAAAATAAAAGCTAAACGAAAATATGAATGAAAATTTTACTTGTGCACAAACACTAATTTACCATGTAAAACTATTTTAATTCAGCTCTACTGTGATCATTTCTAAGACTATATAAATATTAAATAAAAAATATTATCTCAATTAAACAATATTTTTCCCAGCGTTTATCTTGTGAATGATAGATATAGGCGCCTAGACTTCCTGATGCCACCTGGTGGACAAAACCTGAGAATAAGATTTTTATAAAATATTCAAAAAGGTCATATTTTTACCACATTTGCTTTTTTATAATCTACTTATAATGTTAATTGAGGTATCTTGCACCAAATAAATCATAAATTTGTTTTTCATGGTAATTTTTCACTCTCTCTGACTCTTAAATGAGACAATAAAACAAGACTACTGCTATTGATTTACTACTGTGCTTTCTAAATGTAAATGAACCTATGCTATAATTGGGAAATATCTTCACATTGGAAATGAGGAAATTTTTTTTGTTGTTTTTTTAATTATTATTATTATAAAGAAAAGACAAAATCCTTTTTTTTTTAATTCTGTGTTATGACCCTCTATACTAGAGTGTAAAATAAATGATTCTGCACTTTTGAGACACCTGGTGGTCATCTTCAGAACTACACTCAGATGCAGCTTTAACTGTTTTAAACCTCCACACCCAGCACTGAACCCAAAGCTTTAGACAAGCGTCTCGGAGAGATGATTAACGTCAGCAGGGAAGGATATTCCATCTCAATGCGGACATCGTCCAACCGCGAGCGAAGATCTTCAGAGTCTTCCTCAGCCTGCTCTTCAAACACCTGCAACTGCACCTTGAGCTCCTCGTTCTCTATCGACCTCACTTCCTACACACACACACACACACACACACACACACACACACACACACACACACACAGAGAGAATTTAAGAGAAATTTTGAAAGGTGTGTGACATTCCCAGTAACAAACAAGTGACAAAATGCATGTTATGCATGTACAGAAGAGACAAGAGACAATCAAAACATTTAGTCAAATCTGATTCATTATGATAAAATGATATTAATGATATTTTTCTTAAGATAATAGATGAATTTTCTAAGTTATTTTCTGAGTTATCTAACTATCTATCCATCCATCTAACTAACTAACTACCTATCTATCCATCCAACTAACTAACTAACTAATTAACCAACTAACTAACTGTCCATCCATTTAACTAACTGTCCATCCAACTATCCATCCAAGTAACTAACTAACTAACTATCTAACTATCCAACTATCTATCCATCCATCTAACTAACTAACTATCTAACTATCTATCCATTCATCCAACTAACTAGATAACTATCTATCCATCCATCTAACTAACTATCCATCTAACTAATTATCTATCTATCCATCCATCTAACTAATTATCTATCTATCCATCCATCTAACTACCTATCCATCCAACTTTCTATCCATCCATCTAACTAACTATCTAACTATCTATCCATTCATCCAACTAACTAGATAACTATCTATCCATCCATCTAACTAACTATCCATATAACTAACTAACTACATATCCATCCATCTAACTACCTATCTATCCATTCATCCAATTAACTAGATAACTATCTATCCATCCATCTAACTATCTATCTATCCATCCATCTAACTAACTACATATCCATCCATCTAACTAACTAACTAACTAACTAACTAACTATCTATCCATTCATCCAACTAACTATCTATCCATCCATCTAACCAACTACATATCCATCCATCTACCTAACTATCTATCCATTCATCCAACTAACTAGATAACTATCTATCCATCCATCTAACTAACTATCCATCTAACTAACTATCTATCCATCCATCTAACTAACTATCCATCTAACTAACTATCTATCCATCCATCTAACTAACTATGCATCTAACTATCTATCCATCCATCTAACTAACTACTTATCCATCCATCTATATCCAACTAACTATCTATCCATCCATCTAACTAACTATCGAACTAACTATCTATCCATCCATATAACTAACTAGATCTATCTATCTATCCATCTATCCATTCATCCATCTTTATTTGTATCGCCCTCTTTCCTTCTTTCTTTTGTTTTGGTGTGATTATGGCTGTACATGTTGTCACACGATACCAGAATCATTATAAAAAATTTCATTCTTCGTTTTTATTAAATCTTATGAATTAAACAGAAATGACCCATTAAACTAAAGCATTATGCAATCATTTCAAAATATGTTTTTGGCATGAAGGCTTATTTAACATCGAGTCCAGCAGAGCTCTATACAGGATCCCCTTGAACCTTTATTTGAACTGAAAGTATAGTGTTGTGTTTGTGCTTTGCTATGTGACACTGAAACCCTGTGTGTGTGTGTGTGTGTGTGTGTGTGTGTGTGTGTGTGTTCTGACCTTGAGCATGTCTTTGAGTCCCAGTCTCATGAGCTCTGATCTCAGATGGATCCTGAAGTCCAGTTCCTCCACGCGACTGATGAGAGCGTTGATCAGCTGCATACAGCCGGCCTGCACACACACGTTTCATTCGATGTCATTATAGGGCAGGTGAGGGGAACTGACTTGAACCTGTGTGTCAGCAGTGTGTGTTTGACCTTGAGAGTGATGGAGTTCTTCTGCATGCCGGACAGCAGCGGCTGGAACCTCTCGACCTCCTGCTCTTCACCATGTTCAGTGATACACTCCAGAACACGCTCGTGACTGAAACACACACACGACACACATCATCTCACACTTATTAGCCCTCAAACCGTATTCACTTTATAGCCCTTAATCCTGTAATTGTGGACAAATGTGGGCACAGAGGATGCAGGTGTGATCCTAATTTTTATTTAATATAAATGTTATATCACCGTCTTTGACAAAGTTTTGTCTATCCATTTATGATGTTTTTTTTTTTTTTGGGGGGGGGGTATTTTTGAATTTATTTACTTCAAAAAGTACCATATAAATTATGCTTCTGTTTTATTTTTTAACTACATTCAAATATCATTCCAATAAGTTCTTAGAGCTAAAACTTAAAGATGAAGTGACTTTGCGGTCACCTGGTGTCTTATTTTGTCTTATTTTAGGATGCTCTAAATGACAGTTTTTCCCATTTATTTCTATGGGTGCCCATTTTTGACCCAAAACAAGATTAAGGAGGTTTTTTTTCACCCACTCAACATTGTAGAATTGAGTCAAAAAAAACATTGTGTGTGTTCAGGAGGAAAACTTAGGAAAAGTAGCCAAGTCTTGTACCGCTCAGATCAAGGGAAGTATTTTTTAAAAATAAATCAAAACTATTTTGCCCACATTTGTCCAGAATACGGTTTTAGGGTTAAAGTCCTTTTCAGTGGATCATTTGAGGTGCATCTTAAAACAGCCCATCTCAACTGTGGCTCATAATTCTCATTTAAGGTTTCCATAGTCAGAATGATAATTGTACATTAATATATGACTTACTAATGTATAAGGGACTCACTTTAAGACCAGCTAAAACTATATAGACGAATAAAGAAAGAATTTAAAAATAAAACATTACAAATGCAGAAAATATAAAAATACATTTACTTTAAAATATAAATCCTAAATAAGTTTTAAAAACTTATTTAAAAATAATTGTGCAAATATTAGTGCTGTCAAATGTATTTATGATTAATTGCATCTAACATAAAAGTATATAATGTGTATATATATATATATATATATATATATATATAAAAACATATGTATGTGTGTGTGTGTGCTGTATATATAATCGATTTTACAGCACTAGTAGTGATAAGTAGTGACAGTAATAATGTTTTTGTCTGTGTTCCATCCCATAGTGATGCAAAAGGACTGTTGCTATGGTAACCTCCTCAGGTGAACATGACTTGTTATTGGGCATCTATTTGGCACCAGGCAAAAATGTACATTATGAGCTTGTGTGGATATAAAAATACTATAATCTGGTGAAAGACCAGCTCAACACAGCTTCACACACACACACACACACCTGTTTGCCGGATGCTCCAGGATACAGATGGCAGACAGAATTCTGACAACATCCACCATCATGTGTGGGACTTTAGGATTGATGGATCGCACGAGGAGAGGGATTCCCTCTGGTGACATCAGCATGGCTTTAAGACCGTGCTGAGAGAGAGAGAGAGAGAGAGAGAGAGAGAGAGAGACATTAATGACAGTTTTCACATGTGTGTTCAATAAAAGCTCAGATCTGCTCTCACCTTGTTGTTCATGAACGCTTTGAGACATCGAATGATCTCATGTTGACATTTAACACCAATCCCAGCATTTCTGCGAAACACAGGTTTATGTTGAAATCATCTGCATTTATTATGAATAATTCTGATCCTGGATGCTGATTGGTCAATACAGCATTCCAGTTACGATACCTTTATTAGGTAAAAAATATATTTAATATGTCGTATATTAGATACAAAAATATTAGGCGTCTAATAAAACTCTTTAGTCGTGACTACATTTACAATGGTCCCTTATTTCTTAATTTTTCAACTAAATTGAGACAAAATGCAACTCCTTAAATCCTATAAGCAAAAGGTGCAAAAGAATAATAGAAGTAAATAATCAAACAAAATGCTATAGCGTGCAAATCTTATTGTAGCCCTCAATCGGGTCATGAGGTCTATACGACCCCAATCGACTTTTACTTAATAAAAAAAAAGGTTCCCTTCATCTCAGTGGAATATGATTTTGTGACTTTTCATACATTATATATCAAAACACAGACACAAAACTGGGCTTGATTCGGTTGTTCTGAAGGTATGTAAAAAAAAATGTTTAGACTTCTGATCTTCGGGGTCAATGCGACCCCACATTGAAATGAATGGAAAATGTGAAAAAAACTAAATATATTTTCTTCATGTGTTTAAAAAAAAAAAAAAATCCGGCATAAATCTGAAAATTTTTATACAGAAATGAAGGCCTACTAGAGCTTAAATGCAATGTATCATTAAAAAAAAAATCATATTTCATATTAATGAATAGATGAGAAGTAAACAAAAAAAATGATATATTATTTGTGTAATTAAAAATGTATATTTTTTGTACAATTACTAAGTAATCTTTAGTAAAAAATTACTTTAGTAATCAATTGTTGGGGTCGTATGTAAGTGTAAACAGGAAACAAAGACCATTTGAACGTTAAAGCAATGTTATGGTCATGAGAATAGTTAGTATTTAAATATAGTTTTCGCATTTTTCTTCTAGAATATTTGCTTGATATTTGTTTAAAAACAAAATCAAACTACTTTACAGCAGCTCTACTACTGAATGAAATACACTCAATTCACTCAATCACTCTTATATCGCATACATCTTGAAAATGAACATTTTGTATGTGTGTTTATGTCATACAATGATTCATCTCTCTCTTCTTGAAGTTTCTTGAGGAACGCCAGAAGCAAAGCCAAACCCTCGTCTCCAAACGTCTGGACCCAACTAAGAAATAAAACACACACACAGCGGTCAGCTGAAATCACACGCTTAGAAACGGCTCACTTTCAGTGTGTGTGTGTGTGTGTACCTGACGGGGTTGTTGTTTAATGACACCCGCAGTGACTCCAGGCAGCCCAGTAACTGTGCGTCTCTCAAATCGGTCTTCAGTTCCTGGATGTATATCAGCGCCGACTTCGAGCTCTCCTTCTGGCTCCTGCCCTAAAACACACACACACACACACACACACACACACAGCGTAGAATGAGTCTACAGCATGAACAAGTGCAGTGCTGATGTCACACACCCGTAATGACGGCCGAAAGCCTCATGTTGCACATTAAAGCTTTACAACTTTTTGTTGTCAGTTCTTCTCTTAAAGTGACAGTACACCAAAAAATGAAAATTCTGTTATCATTTACAAAACCTGTTTCTTTCTTCTGCTGAACACAAAAGAAAACGACTTATCGGCTTCCTGTGATCAAAGCTGAATTTTCAGCATCATTATTTACTCCTGTATCATACTCTGATTATTATGATCAGTGCTGAAAACATAATTGCAGCTTCATATTTTATATGGAAACTGATGCTTTTTTTCAGGACTTTGAAGAATAGAAAGTTTTAGAATAACGTATTTGAAATGAAAATCTTTTGCCCGATTGAGTCCAAAACTGCGATGATTGATATAATCATTGAAACGGACGATACTAAACAAAATAGATCAAAATATGTGTGTATTAAGAGTATACGGCAAATCTGTGTTCGAGTGTAAATGCAAACTGATCTGACCTGTGTTGTGTATGCGACACGTTTCTTTGTTTTTAATTTTAATTAAAAAAAATATATAAACAATGTTTACTTAATACATTTAAGCAGCGTGTAGCTTTGAAAATGTTTATTTACTTTTTTTATTTATTAATTATTATCATCATAAACAATAAACGTACTTAATTAATATATTAATTTTAAAAAAAGTTAAATATAGCAGTGAAATACTTCTGATATTGGTACGGACTACTGGAAGTTTTGCACTTTTACAATGCTGTTTTAAAATGTTTTAATATTTAATTAAAAGTAATTAATTAAATTAATAAATAATTTAAATTATTTATTTACATTATTATTTATTACTTATTTATTATTATTTTATTTATTATTTAAAATAATTAATGAAATTATTTAATATTTAATTTAATTATCTGTACAAGTTAACAGATAATATATGTTTTACATTATTTTTTCTTTATTGGTCAAAAATTAAAAAATAAAACACTCTCTGAAACTAGTCCCGTGGCTGTAGAATGACATGACATGTGTATATGCATGTATATGTTTAAGAAAAATGTGTTATTAATATATCAAATATTCATATTTATGTATAATAATAATTTTGTATAAATATACTGTATATAAAGTATATACATGCAAATATTTCTGAAATAAAAATATATACATGCATGTGTATTTATATATACAAAATAATTATACACACTACACACACATATATTTTGTAAACACAAACTTTTATAATATATTTTTAACTTTTTTATTTTGGATGTGATTAATCGCGATTAATCGTTTCAAAGCCCTAATCCAGATAACAGTAGCCGTGTCCTCTCTGACATCTGTAGAGAAACATGAACCACATCCTCTCTCCGTGTGTGTGTGTGTGTGTGTGTGTGTGTCAGGAAGAGCATCAAACCACCACAGGAAGAGCACCTGCTCATGTTCATCACCTCAGACACACTGATTGATTCACAGAGGCTGTGTCAGAAATCTCAAACTCTCATGAGTAGGTACTTGTTTTGAATAAGTAATTACTTTACGACCACAAAAAAAGTGTGTGTGTGTGTGTGTGTGTGTGTGTGTTCTTACAGCATTGGAGGTGTGCAGATACTGAGACACCATCTCTCTCTTGATGATGATATCCTTCTGTCTCAGCGGCTGCTGCTTCTCCTCATTCAGATTCATATCCACCTACAGACAGACGGAGAGGCGATTTTGTAAAGGAACAATTAAAAATTAAAATAACCCATCATTACCTATTAATCAGCTATCGTGGAAAATATAAATGTATCATTAATAATATATATTTTTTCAAAACAATATTCATTTGATCACAAAAAATATTGGTCTCACTTTACAATAAGGTTCATTAGTTAATGTATGAACTAACATGAGCATTGCATTTGTTACAGTATTTATTAACTTTGTTCACGTTAGCTAATAAAAATCCAGCTGTTTGTTGTTTGCTCATGTTAGTTCACTGTGTATTAACTAATGTTAACAGATGAACCTTATTGTACTAATGAACCTTATTGAAAAAGTGTATGTTAATTAAATAAACTAAAAATATAAATTAATTTATTAAATCATACCATAACTTTTTTTTTAAATTAATAGATCCAACCAAAATGTGAGTTTAGGGAAAAAAATAAAAAATAAATAATAAATAAATAAAAAAAAAAAAATATATATATA